CACGTCTCTCTCTTTTTTCTCAGAACTACATTATTGTTAGGTTTTTTTCCCCTTTTTATAGCAGTTTAGCTTATAAAATCCTTCGGTATTACAATAATACCCGAATTAATTTCAGTATAAGAACAGGAGGACAGTTCTAAGTCCTGCTATGTAATACAAATCCTTTCAGAGTTTAATAAATGAACAGTCTTCGGAGTTTTCGGGAGTAAAAAGAAACCAAAGGTGGGTCTTATTAAGATTCGTACAATTAAATATCAAGAACAGATATCAAAATTTCGTAATTACGTAAACTCTATGCTCCAGTAACGAACTGACTAACAGATTCTGGCGAGAACTAGGAATACAAAGAACAGATAGAGATACCAATATCGTTTTTGTATCTACGTTTCGTATCGAGACATCTCACCCTCCATCTGTGATGTAAAATTACTTTTCACTGTCAAACCATCTGTGATCTAAAAATAATTATCACTACCAAATCATCTGTGATGTAAAAATACTTGTTACTACCACGCCATCTGTGATGTAAAAATACTTGTCACTACCAAATCATTTGTGATGTAAAAATACTTGTCACTACCAAATCATTTGTGATGTAAAAATACTTGTCACTACCACACCACCTATGATAAAAATATTTGTCACTACCAAAGTATCTGTGATGTAAAAATAATTATCACTACCAAATCATCTGTGGTATAAAGATACTTATCATTACCACACCATCCGTGATAAACAATACTTGTCAGTACCAAACCACCTGTGATGTAAAAATACTTGTCACTACCAAACGATCTGTGGTGTGAAAATACTTTTCACTACCAAATCATCTGTGGTATAAAGATATTTGTCACTAACACACCACCCGTGTTAAAAAATACTTGTCACTCCCACACTATCTGTGATGTAAAAATATTTGTCACTACCAAACCATTTGTGATGTAAAAATACTTGTCACTACCAAAGAGGTAAAAAAATTCAGTCAAACAAATTGATTAAACGTCGTCTCCACCTGGTAATTACGATACTCAATCCATTTCGCAACTCATGGTACGGGGAATAGTAAACAATGTCTCATAGGTCATACATCTCCCTCTATATAATAGTGGTAGTTACATAAAATGTATCTTCCCTTTAATATACAGACTGATTATTTTTTTACTGTGTTATGACAGTGAATAGACTTCATTTTTTTCCATTGTTGTATAAGATGAAAAACATAATATTATTACTTTCATAACACTGCTATGTTTCTAATGCCAGCGTATTTTAGTGCATCTAACAATATGTTCCCAAATTATTCATCTCCATTCCACTCCGGGTTCTAAGGACACGTATAAAGTTACCTGAGTCACTGGTTCATTATAACTTCTCTTGACCAGTTTTTCATTTCATTAAACTTTGTATTTTTTATTGGTAAAGGTACTGTGTGACAGTGTATTTGTTGCATTCTCAATTTTACTAAAAATATTGAGATATATTTTCTTTCCACTGTACCAGTAATAGTAAGCATGGTATATTTTTCCATTGATAAATTACTATTAAATTAACTATTTCCTTTACATTATCCTAATAATATTGCGCAAACATTCTCTTTTCTGTATTTGTTAATAATAACAAACATACTTTATTTTTCTTATTGTACCTTTACAGAATTTTCCTTTTTCCACTACACTTATAACTCCTTTTATTGTAGTGATCCAATTCAAAACAATTTTCAATACTTCCATTGTACTAACAATTATAAAACTGGTTTTTCTATTTTCGACCACTCTAATAATATTGAATAGACTTTAATTTTTCACCAATATATAATTTATAATAATTTTGAATAAACTGCCTTCCTTGGTAAACATTTGTGATGTAAAATATACATTATTTGTGTATATAAGCATTAAAACACTTTCCCTGTGTAATGCATTGGGTGTATTAAATTACAATTATGTTTCCCTTTGTATTCTGGATGTTAAATTAATTTCGGTTTCATATTGTATTAAAAGCAGTTCTAAGAAGCATCAATTTATTTTCACTTTAATCCGTAAAAAAAAAGGAAACAAAAATGATTCCAAATGATAAATTCCAAAATTAACTTTCTTTTTTACTTAGCATAGAAAATATATTGTTTGTAATTAGGCACAAAGCTACACAAATGCTATCGAAATCCGGTTTCTAGCAGTATAAGTTCGCAGACATATCACTGTGCCACTAGAGGCTTGGGTTTGTTTTGTTTATAATTAGGCACAAAGCTACACAAATGCTATCGAAATCCGGTTTCTAGCAGTATAAGTTCGCAGACATATCACTGTGCCACTAGAGGCTTGGGTTTGTTTGTAATTAAGCACAAAGCTACACAAATGCTATCGAAATCCAGTTTCTAGCAGTATAAGTTCGCAGACATATCACTGTGCCACTAGAGGCTTGGGTTTGTTTGTAATTAAGCACAAAGCTACACAAATGCTATCGAAATCCGGTTTCTAGCAGTATAAGTTCGCAGACATATCACTGTGCCACTAGAGGCTAGCTACACGAGGGCTATCTGCGCTAGCCGTCCCTAATTTAGCAGTGTAAGACTAAAGAGAAGGAAGCTAGTCATCACCAACCACCGCCAGCTCTTGAGCTACTCTGTTACCAACGAATAGTGGGATTGACCGTCACATAATACCCCCCCCCCCCACAGCTGGAGGGGGAGCATTTTTGGTGGGACGGGGATCCGAACCCGAACCACATATTGCACCCTAACCACCTGGCCATACCGGGCCGCAACAAAATGTTAAGGATGGAATACGTAATTCAAATAAATCTTACATAAATAAATGTATTGAAACTAATGCTTGGAACACATTGGTTTGAAGTGAACGTTTCTTGAAAATTAAAAAGTGCTCGATTTTGTAACAAGTAAAATAACAAACGAATAAATGTTTTTAAATTGAAAAACTTAGAAGACATTAATCGTGAGAAAGCGATGCAAATGTTATTCAGAAACATACAACTTATCAAAATTAATAACTTTGATAGTTAAGTTTATTAGAATATTATCGTTAAAACATATATTAACTTAACGAAAAAATATAATATATGAGTTAATATAATACAAACTATCACTTTCCCTGGAGTGTACAGATGCTGGAAAAAACTAGTAAAATGTATCAAACACGCAGTGTTATAAAAGATGAATAGATATTGTCAGAAGAACTCTTGCAAACAGACTCATTGGTATATGAATAAAAATGCCAAATATGTTTGCAGGAAAAAGTTTTATCCCAAACAAAAATCCTAATTGAAGAACACACATTAGTTCTTCAGTGATTACATACTATCTCGTCTAAACTGACTATGCTAATTTAATGTATGAAAACCCTTAAAGTTTAAATGAAATATATAAAAAAATATAAAATACTTTATTTAAAAAAAAGTCTATAGGAAATGTTAAACTCATCGCCTTAGACATAAGTGTATATCTTGTATTTAAAAAATCTATATAGAATATGCAATTTCAAATATTCTATCTCTCACACCCATATCTGTAGGCTGTATAACGTAGATGTAACTTCCCTGGGGGCATGTCCCCCACCAACTTTTCCGATGATGGGAAAATGTCACATTGCAGTTAAAACTTTGTTGTTACCTATAGAATACCCTCATGTCTACTCCAGCAACAAACATTGTCCCCCGCACTTTTTAAGGATGGAGAAATGTCCCTCTAACTTTTTCAATGATGGTAAAACGTCACACTGCAGTTAAAACTTTATTGTTGCTTACAGCCTACCCTCATGTATGCATACCCCAGCAACATAATTGGTTCCCCCACACTTTTGTAATCGTCACTGTTATGTATCATATCTGCATGTACAGAAACTTACTGTCTAAACTATGCACTAATAAGCTCTCAATATAAATGATTTTTTGTGTGTTTGTTGAATATTCGGGCAAAGCTATGCGATAGTTGTCTGTGCCAGCCGTCCCTAATTTTGCGGTGATGGACTAGATGAAAGACAACTAGTCAACACTACCCACCGCTAACTCTTGGGATATTCCTTATTAACGAATAGTGGAATTGATTGTAACATTATAACGCCCCCACGACTGAAAGGGCGAGTATGTTTGGCGATGGGTTTTGATACAAAGACCCACATATTGCGAGTGAAGTGTCGTACACACCAGACCATGCCAAACCCTATATATAAATGAGCCCACTTCTATACGAGTTACTCCATGACAGACAGACCTTCCATGCTTCATTTATTGTTATAACTGATGAACAATGAAGACATCATTTTAATTCTGGATTTCTCGTAGAAAAGATAAAAGTGTGGTCGTAAATGCTTAAAATAGTCAATTAACTGTAACTATAACATTCACGGTGGTCATTATAATATTTCCAAATACTGTAAAATTTTTACAGTAAAAAGAAAACAGTTTTGAAACAAATTGAAACATTAAGGATGATATTTGTAACTAGGACCCATTTTAGGCCAAAATACTTCAATAATGTACGTATTACCATCACTATGTCTTTTAATCTAGCCCTCAGCTCACTTGATACATAAACGTGCCAAAAAAGTCGAAACAAATACACAATGTTTTGCACATTATGATTCTGTGTCCTCGAAGTTTCGATATGACTCAGATCCTACTTAAAATATTCGAAAATATAATCTTATATCCAATGAGGTTCAACTGTTGTTTCGTTTTCCACCCAAATACACTCGATCGACACCCAAACGAGTGGTAGTACGTTCAAGAGTTGTAATATATTATGACACTCCTTAAATAACAGAGTAAATACTTTAAATAACTACGGCACACACCTGATTTAGGGTGTGTGATTTCTTAGTTGAATTGATTGATCTAGTAGGCCATTTCTTGTTTTTACAAAATCCCCACAGAATAGATCACACATTTCAAAAATGATTCTAAAACTAAATATAGAATTCACAAACTTACTGTTGAACGAACAAAACGTTTCTTCCAGTATAAAGAAAATTAACGTTTTGCATTACCTTTCAGAAGACTAAAAAATGACAAGGCTATTAGAAGTCCAGGAGTTGTGTTGTTAACTTTCATTGTCGTCTTTATTTGATTTGCTCATCACCTGGAGATGGATCTGAATCTAGAATTCACTCATAAGTTTTGTTTGGAAGGAGTCCAATTAGTTTCAATCCTATTCACCACCTGTATGCTTCGTACTTCTCAAGTCATCTATAAGCGGTTACAGGTCGGGCCTTCTTTTTTGATCGACGAATCTACATCAAGTGGAAAGCGTGTTTTTGACTTCCTATACTTCTTCAGTCGTTAAAACATTCTACTCGTGCTCAGAAAGTTTAATTTATTATCAGAATTAATACTGTTTTCAGTACAACTCAGTTTCCTTTGAAATCCCCCTTCCATCTCCCTAAACAACAAGACGTACAGAGTTGTAGCTTTATGCAGTACCTACGCCATATAGTGGCATCCGTCTTTTTCGCTACCGGTGGTACTCAGCGCCGAGCTTGCACATCTTGAGTGTTATCTTCCATTAAAAGCTGGCTTGTGTCATGCGCATGCGCTCCAGAGTCTACCTATCCTAGTCTGAGGGTGATGTAACGTTCGATGCAGGGAAACTACAATGTTTCTAGTTGGACAAAAATACCTTATTGGATGATGTGGTAGTTTGGGTATTTAGAGAGTTGACAGCTATAGGAACAGCTAAAAAGACGTCTTAGAGAACAAGAGAATAAGATCTTAACTTATTTTTTGCGTTTAAATAACAAATTATTGCCATTTTCAAAGCGATCCAGATTCTGCATATCCGGACGACCGTGGGGCAGATATGTTCAATTTGGGTAGCATATAAAAAATGTTTGAATGTTTTATATGGTATTTAAGGTATTTTTGAAACTGCATGGTATAGGTACGGGGGGAGAAAACAGTTAATATAGAAAATAATACTACCTTAAACATTTTTGTACTGCACAAACGTTTTTCAGAAAAAAAAACATTTTGATTTTTCTTTTCTACTGACCATATCTCTGACATCCAGGTTATTAGTAAATGAAAATTAATATTCAACTTCATTGTGTAGAGAAACATGTGATGTTAATACAGCTTGTATTAACATCACATGATTCCCTACACAATGAAGTTGAATGCTACTCAACTTCATTGTGAAGGGAAGCATATGATGTTAATACAGCTATTCAACTTCATTGTGTAGAGAATCATATGATGTTAATACAGCTATTCAACTTCGTTGTGTAGAGGACCATGTGATGTTAATACAGCTATTCAACTTCGTTGTGTAGAGAAGCATGGGATGTTAATACAGCTATTCAACTTCATTGAGTAGGGAAGCATGCGATGTTAATGCAGTAGTAAAATAATAAGCAGCAAATAGTAAGCGCAGTGATATTTATTGTAAAAAAAAAACATACTACATGTTTCCATTTGAAGAATAGTGACCAAAGTACTGTCGAAACATATAGTATGTTTTGTACAATAAATACCATTGTACTTAAAAATCGTTGTTTGTTTCTTTACTGCTTTTATTTACCTTTTTTGTGGTACTTGACGAAACCAGAATTTTCTTATTCGTTCAAAACTACACGAGATACAAAAAATTTGTGTTTCCAATATAACACAAGAATACAAACGGGGGAAACTAATTTTCACTTGTTGCCATTTAAACACAACCTTTTAAATTATTCAAAAATAATATAAACACCTATTTTATATTTCTAATTCTCAACTCATTTCGTCTAAACGTATAATAATCAGATATGAAGTAAAAATATTTGGAAACCTTTACAAACCATTGTATTTTTATGCTATAGCTTTCAAATAGTGACATCATTTTCTTTAAGAGTTCTCCTTTCGGTAAAATTTACCTCCGGATCAAAGATGAACATGCAAAAAGCAATATCGAAGATGAGACTGAGGAAACTTGACACGATAAAAATTAGCTCAGTGACAAAACTGTATTATAATTAACGCAAAAATATAGATTTCACAGATGAAAAAGTAAACAATTCAATACAAAACATACACTTTTAGAGAAAAAAAAATTATATTCGAATGAAAAAGTACGATCTCAGAGAGCAAAACGTATAACAATAAACTCACAAAGTACACTGCAAGATAACAAGTTTACAAAAGCGAAACTAAAACATGCACGTTCTTGGATACAAAATTTTATAAAACAAACTGTACGAAATATGAGAAAGCATTATTAACAGAGATAGAGCTGGTAGGATATAAAAACTAAGAGTTGTACCTCAGGGAAGAGACTTAGATTAAGCATGAATATGCATAAGTTGACATTTCGAACTATGGAGACCTATGTGTCACTTTTATTGTAAATGTTAGCACATAAAAAACCCTTACGTCTTCAAATTCCAGATAGTTACAACTGTTAAATTCCACAATCCATGATCTTCCATACATTATAGTAGTCTCTGTCAAAAATGTAAATGTGATGCAACGGGAAAAACGAATATAAAAACAATTACGAACTGTTGTATTATGAAAGTAAGGAAGTGTTTATAGTTTTACAGCTGTACTTGAGAGTAAGGAAGTGTTTATAGTTTTACAGCTGTACTTGAGAGTAAGGAATGTTTATAGTTTTACAGCTGTACTTGAGAGTAAGGAAGTGTTTATAGTTTTACAGCTGTACTTAAGAGTAAGGAAGTGTTTATAGTTTTACAGCTGTACTTGAGAGTAAGGAAATGTTTATAGTTTTACAGCTCCACTTGAGAGTAAGGAAGTGTTTATAGTTTTACAGCTGTACTTGAGAATAAGGAAGTGTTAATAGTTTTACAGCTGTACTTGAGAGTAAGGAAGTGTTTATAGTTTTACAGCTCCACTTAAGAATAAGGAAGTGTTTATAGTTTTACAGCTGTACTTGAGAGTAAGAAAGTGTTTATAGTTTTACAGCTCCACTTGAGAGTAAGGAAGTGTTTATAGTTTTACAGCTCTACTTTTGTTGCGGTTTAAAACAAAATTAGCAACCTTTAAAACAAACATTTATGGTGTTTATTACAAAAAAAAAGATTCTTCGCATCGCACTCGCTTCACCCCGTCACATCACCATTAGCGTAGTTGACTCCTACCCTATTTTGTTTGGCCATGATGCATCGTTCAACACGTTTCACTTCTCGCATCGCATCCACCTGGTGGCGACACTTGTACATTAACATTTATTAATTAATCACTACAATTCAGATTGATGACGATATAACGATTTTACAAACATTCATATTTAAAAGGTTTTATATATGTATATAATTAAACAATATCTTCATAACTGGTGTAAACTTTAAGGGTGTCAACAATGTCTATTATTTTGAAATTAAGTGAAAATAATAAAATCTAGTTTACCAAAATTCAGGCTAGTTAATTAATTAATAAGAAGTATTTCAAACACAAAACTTGCATACTTAATTTAGATAACACCGTTAGGAATTATTTTGTTTACAATTATGAAAGAAAAGGAGATAGTTATCTACTTTACCTAAATTAAGATAATATAACCTACGAAAATAAGGGATCATTAGTCTTCCAGGCACTGTCCTTGCAAAACCATGTAAAACCTTGTGAAAAGTTGAACTCGCCTTTTTTTTTCCAGAAAATTACCAAGTACACTCTTAAAGTCTTGTAAAATGCCTCAACTACTGATCAGGCAACTGATTTTATAAGTAATTTGCCCTTTTTTAGTAAAATAAAACTGTCTTAAGTGAAATCTACCTTCTCTTTTCTGAAAGTAATAAAACTTGTGCTCTTTTGTCCTATTGCTTTTAAAATACAGTACAAAAAAATCAGAGCTCCTTATCGTCTTGATCCCCCGGATAATCTTGCAAACTTTAAAAAATAAACTCTTACACTTCTTTTATCAAGAAATTAAAAAAATTAACCTATCCTTATAAGACAATCGTTTCGGAATGATTTTAGTAAACATCCTTATATTTTCCAATAAGTCAATATAATTTCTTATATAAGGAGACCAAAATTGTGCATAGTATTACGTGTGAAGCCTAACTAGTGATTGTTTGAGATAATTAGCTTTTTTCAATTGTAAGAACAATACTCACGTGCTCAGTAATCTCCAGCAGCATTATCAGATCATGAAAATAATGTTGTAGGAAATAAAGCTTGAAAAATAATGAAAATTTAGTGTTTTTCAAAATTGGTGTTAACTTAGTAATTCCTAATTGCACCAACGTGGTATTGGATACATAAAGTCTGATACATGATCAAGGATAGAAAAATCAAACAATACCAACAAGAAGAAGAAAAAAACGACTGATGTAACATGTCGCCACAGAGGTGAGTAGTGACGCCACTTAACACATGTTTAACACACACACACACACACAGTCATATCTATATATATATATTTACTGGACCATTCAGTAGTGCAGTGCTTAAATGGGTAAACTGGCTGATGGAGTAGTAACAGATCCTTTTGAGAAAGGATATTTGTATAGTGAAATAACAAAGAGATGCAAAATTTGAGGAACTCCAATTTCAAAAATGACTATACCTATAATGTGACGTATACCATAGCCAAGGGAAGTCACACACATTCATGTGATGATGTCGCCTAAACATCATAACACACGCAGAACTAGTGCTTCTATTATCAAAGTTCAGAGGCTAAGAATACAGGGACAACTTCATTCCACACAGAAGGTGGATGTCAACTAACCACACACATACAGTTCACAATAATCTTACCCTGAAGAGTGCACACCCCTACACACTCCCACCCTCAGATACCTTGTTGAGAGCAAAACAAACTGCAGAAAACTGTACGAAGAATGCCTTACAAAGGTGTAGGGAAATATTTTAACCTAGGGGTGCAATGAAATTTGAAGTATGTTTGAAGTCAAACACAATGGGCTGTCTGTGCTCTGCCACTGGGGGACAGGTGATCCCAGATGCTGACGATATTAAGTTTTGTAGAAGTCCAGAAGTGGTAGATATTATTCATAAGCACAATCAACATATGTATACGATTTATAGATTTACAGCCTTCAAACATTTTTAGGGGTGCCCGCCCCCCCTGGTTCCTAAGACTCTCTCTTACACGTGAACGATAAAAGTTTGTTGCAGCATTGCACAAGGTTTGTTAGCAATTGAACGACTATGGCAAAAAATAAAAGAAACAAAAAACGGGCAACTTTATATTGACCGGGATATTATAAAGACCTTCTAACGTGGTACACAGAATGCAAAGGAAATTTTTCATCAAGATTTATGGTTTACGAAGATTTCTCATATAAATGGAAATTTAAGCTTCACAAAATGATCAGTAAAGCAAAGATAAACTTCAAGTTACTGCGAGGAGAACGTATTGACAATCAGTTATGCAAGATGAAATTTTTACATTGTACGGTAAGGTCTTTAAAAAGTTGTGTCTAAATCAAGACAAAGAGTCAAATCACATACACCTAATTTATTACTCCGTTTTTACGAAACGTGGAGAATGAAACAGGTGTTCATACTATCTTCTTCTACGACGT